CAGCCTCCCCTCAGCCTCCCCTCAGCCTCCCCAGCCTTCTCTCAGCCTCCTCAGCCTCCCCAGCCTCCCCTCAACCTCCCCTCAGCCTCCCCAGCCTTCCCTCAGCCTCCCCTCAGCCTCCCCAGCCTCCCCTCAACCTCCCCTCAGCCTCCCCAGCCTCCTCAGCCTCACCTCAGCAGCCCTAGCTTCCGTTTTAAAAGATTACAACTGAGTGTTTGCTGCTTCTGTAGAGAACTGGAATTCTATTTCTGACCCCCACAGGGTGGCTCACAGCAGCCTGGAACTCCAGCTCCAGATTATCCAACACCCTCTTCTGGACGCTGTGACCACACACACACACATACACACACACACACACACACACACACACACACACACACACACACACAGAAATGATACAGTGAATCTTAAAATAAACAAGCGATTAAACCCATGGAGACTAACCACAGATGAGGGTTCAGGACTTCTCCCTGGCCCCTGAGGCTAGCCCCGCCTCTCACAGCTGCCCCTGCCCAGGCAGGACTGGCATCTGTTCCCAGTGCCCTGCTGCCTCCTTTCCAATCTCCCCAGAGAGCAGAACCCTCGGAGGACAAAAGCACCGTGTGCTTCCTGGCCTGGGGAGTCTGCAGACTGCCCTCACTGTTGGCGTCTCCATGCTCAGTCCCCCTCACCAGCCCTTCTATCAGATCCCACCTCTGCCTGACCAGCCTCTCTCCTGACTTTTTGCCTAAGGAACTGCCACTCACATTTTAAGTGTCAGCTTTACGACATGTCAGTTCCTGGGGAAGATTCCCTGGTTCTGCAACCCAGAACCGTCTTTTTTTTTTTTTTCTTTTTTGCCTAGTAGCCTTTCTTTTCTCTCTTGTTTTATTTATTGTTGTTTCGTTGGCATAGTTCTGTACAATTATTGCGTAATTGATGGCTTGATGTCTTTGAAAACCAGCCATCAATACTTAGAGGCAGAAGTCTTTCTGTTCCACCCATTGGAATATTAGAACCGAGCTTGGCATAAGAGACGGACAGCAGAGCTATGTTCAGGTAGACTAGCACCACACCGCTGCATACACGGCTGTAAACATGGCTTCCTGTCACAATTCAAGGAGCCCTAGAGAACTCAAGCAAATTTTTTACATATTTAAGACTTGATGCTAATCTCACAAAGATACGGCAGGCATCTCTTGTTCTGAGTTAAGCAACAGAGAGCAGGAGTGTACTTGTCCTGAGTGCAGACCGGCCACTTCTGATGATGGGGGCTCAGACACACCCCAGACTCAGAAAAAGTACTGCCAGACACGTTTAGATCCTCACGCTTGTTTCCTGAAGGTTAGGGGTCATGTGAGTAGAAGGCAGTGTGTTACTTTAGCCTATTTTAGACTTTCTCTGAAGAATCATGACCTTCACGGGAAGTGACTGGGCAAGAAAGGAGGCAATGTCTGCGGGCTCACAGAGAGAAGAGCTGCCTGCTCGGAATGCAGGTCTCCTGGTAGACTGCAGTGTGGCAGCCAAGAGAATCCCCGGAGGAAACTGCAGGAGATTTGTGGAGCCTTGAAAATTGATTGATAAAAAGCTAGTGAGGGAGAGTCCTTCCTCAGTTAAGAAAAAGGAAGGGCAGGAGGGAGGGAGAGGAGCTGGAGACAGAGGAAAGAAAAAAAAAAAAGAGAGAAGTCTACTACTGCCTCATCAGCTTCATTGATTGGTCAATAAGCTGTCATGTGCGGGACAATGGGGGAGGGGCAGGACTGCTGAAAACTGGGTAGCTCTGGGTTTGTTTTGGAGTAAAGTTTGCCAGGCTTGTTGACATCTAGCAACGGTTGATACTGATTTTTTTTTAATGCACGTAGGTATCTTGGTTTTTTTTTTTTTTTCCTCACAGTTACCTGTGGGCTAGTAAAACTGCTTATGTTTTATAGTAAGAAAAGCCTGGTAGGGTGGCATATTGATCCCTGGAGCTCACTGGCCAGCCAGTCATTCAGAGTCTCGCCTATCCTGCATGAAAACTTCCAGATCAGTGGTACACCCTGTCTCAACAAAACTTGGATGGAACCTGAGGAATGACACCTAGGGTTGTTCTCTGGCCTGTGTGCACGACACAGACACACACAGACACAGACACACACACACACACACACACACACACACACACACACACACACACACACACACACACAAACCCACACCACACCACACCTCTCCTTGATTGCCTCTCTGGAGATTAGCCAGAGCATCTGGAGGCTGCCGCACCAGAGGATGGGGTGCTTTCTGGCAGTGTCTTGATCTCTGTCTTTGCCAAACAGCAGCTCTCCACCCATTCCCTAGAAATCTTCAGGGCTCCACCCAGTTCCACCCTGGGGTCCCCAGCCTTGTTGTCACTGGCCCCCCATGGCCCCACGACCCCATGGCCATGGTCTGAGGCTGAAGCTTAACTTACATTGTTGGCGGGGCTCTTGGGGGCCGCCGGGCTCTATACGAGCCCTGCACCCCAGCCCTGTGGGCCTCGGCTGTTCCCCGTCGCGGCCCGCCTCCGCTGCTGTCCCTGCCGTCACCACCAGCGCCTCCTGCCGCCTCATGCCACTGGGGTCTCTGCTGCCCAAGGCCACCAGGCCTCCCAACTCCGCCACCGGCTGCTCTGGAACGCGAGGCGTCTGAGGTTGCCATAGTGACCGCGGATGCTCCGGGCCTCCAGGGCTCTGCTAATTTCTCCCGGGCTGGGTGAGCAGACACCCCACGTGTAGTCGGGCGCTGCGATTCCTTAGATACAGAGCCACGCAAAGGACCCAGCTTCTCAAGAGAGGTGCGTCAGTTGCGTGGCTGGGAAAACGAGAGCCACAAAGGTTTGGGAAAGTGCCCAAGGCCACAAAACTGGGGTGTGACTCAGCAAAGTCTGATCCAAAGCCCCAAGGGTTGGTCACCACCTGGGACATAGAAGGTGTGAGTGCTGGAATGGGCCACCGGCCCATGACCGTGATTCCCTACTATGAATTCATAACTTTGGGGCTGTGAGTTACTAAATAATTGTAGTTTCCGAGTTTTGTACTCACAGTCGATGTCAGCTCACAAAATCACCAATTTTACAGGTGAGAAGCCTACAGAATTGGAAGTGAGTCAGAAAATCGAGTTTGTTTGAAGGAGCGGCTAATTCCGTTTTTCTTTTTGAAGTTATTAAAAAGTTGCATTACTTTTACCAAAGTTAAATGTGCATTATCTTAGAAAGTTAAATAATTTGACAAGGCTTTTAACAAATTCAGGAGATGCCCTCCCCCCATATGGCTGTCTTTACTGCATTCCACTTTTATTCTTTTTCTTCTTCTTTTGTTTGTTTGTTTTGTTTTTCAAGACAGGGTTTCTCTGTATAACCACCCTGGCTGTCCTGGAACTTTCTCTGTAGACTAAGCTGGCCTTGAACTCACAGAGATCCGCCTGCCTCTGCCTCCCAAGTGCTGGGATTAAGGGCATGCACCACCATGTCTGTCTCCCATCTTTAAATTCCAAAACAAACCTTTGCACATGCGTGCTGCACATCTGCCACTGATCCTTGAGTCCAGACATCGCCTGCCTCTGCCTCCTGAGTGCTAGGATTAGAGGCCTACACCACCACCGCAGGCCCACTTTTATTCTTAATTGATAATTTCATGTTTGCAACCATTAAACCACATTGGTGGGAGAGAATGGTTGAGAAACTGACCTAACCATGTATGAGCACCAGATATAAACAAAAGTGTGTGTGAGTTTGGGGTGTGGCTGAGAGAGAAGAGCCTTTCAAGCAGTGGTGTTAGATGAATTGGTTGTTCATCTGGAAAACACCTTGACTCCTGGTGTATTGTAAACACAAACAGCAGATTAGACGGATTATAGTCATAAAGGTGGAATACCAAGGCTTCTAGGTGATATCTGTTGAACATGTTCACAACGTTGGGGTTGGGAACAATTTCCTATGCAAGCAATAAAAGACATTAATCAAGAGAAAACAGCAAGTCAGAGAACATAAAAATTAAGATACCCTCTTGATTAAAGTCACTATTAAGAATGTGGGGAGTCAAGCCACAGAGTGGGAGAACATTTTCGAAACACATTAGCTAACAAACAATCAGGACCAGATTATATAAAGAACTCTCACAGATCAGTACGAGTAGGGCATGGAACTCAGAAAGAGCATGGAGAAAGACAGACAAATAGATACATGACAAAAAGAGGAGATCCCAATAGCTGAGGAACACGAGACACCGTTTGTCATCAGGCCAAGCTATGGAAGCTGCAAGGAGATGTGGCTTCCCCACACCAGAGTGGTTGCTGAACCCACAAACAGGAAACAGTCCCAGCAGCAGTCGCCAGGCTTGGAGGCACCATAGCAACTGGGCTCTCCTTCTCTACTGTTGAGGGACATCTGAGCTGGCCATGGAGGTTAGGCAGGATTGTTTGCACCCAGTTGGGGCAACATAGTGAGAGTTTGTCAAAAACAAAAGTCTAAAAGTCTAAGTTTATGTGACCAATTTGAATTTGAAGAGCTGTCCCGTTCCCACCCCCCGGCTTTTACTAAAGAAGAATGTAAGTACTTCATAGTCCTAATATCAGACACATACTAAACTGTGGAATGGGTGCACCAAAAACACTCACTAGAATTTTCCCAGTAACACCATTCACCAGAGCCCCAAAGGCTCGAGGAAGAATTTGAAATAAGATGTACCACCTATTAATTATTGTGTTCTTAGAATACCACAATGAAAAAGAGCCAGCTCCTTCTTTATGTAGGAATGTGGGAGAATTCCGCAGATGTGATGTCGTACACTGTAAATTATTCCATGGTGTAGTAGAAATTAAGTGAAGACGATGAAGTAAAAACAGTGGCTAGCTTTAAGGAAACACCGAGAGTGTGGGAGACAGGCTTTGGGGACCCCAAATATATTCTGCACCTTGATCTGAGGGTAGATACAAGTTTTGTTCATTTTGTATAGTTCATCAAGGTTTCTAAATTTCTTGTATGTTTGGTGTATCTCTACAGGTTAACAATTAAGCATATTTTAGTTAGAAAACAAAAGTTTGTCTGAAATTTTACTCATAAAAAAATAGTGTAGTTTATTTGATTAAATATAAAGAATCACACAATTCTTGTTTCCTATTTTCTCCAACATCAAAAACTTGGAGGTTATTTAATTTTCAGTGGCAGTAACTGCATTAATTTAGGTAATTTATTTCTTCTCTCTTCTATGGCTTTGTCTTTTAAAATTTCCAATCACCTGACAGGCCACACTAGTGGAAACCCATGAACTGTAGACTAGTGGCTGTGGAGCCCCTCTGGGACTGGACTAGGCCCTCTGGATATGGAAGACGGTTGTTTGGCTCAAACTGTTTGGGGAGCACCCAGGCAGGGGGATTGGGATCCGTCCATGGTGCATGGGCAGGCTTTCGGGAATCTGGTGCCTGTGGTGTGATGCCTTGTGCAGCCTTGGTGCAGTGGGAAGAGGCTTGGACCTGCCTAGGCTCAGTGTGCTGGGCTCTGCTGACTCCCCATGGGAGACCTTGATTTGGGGGATGTGGGAATGTGGGGTGGCTTAGGAGGGAGGGGTGGGGGGTGGGAGGATGGAGGAGGTGGGATTTGTGGGTGGTACATAGAGTAGAAAATTTATTAATAAAGAAAAATGAAAAAATTTCAATCACCATATGTGTATGCCACTTCAAACTCTTTTGTGTATAAATTATTGGCAAAAAAAAGTATATGATACGTTATTTTAGCTATAAAAACGGGGTAATTGGTTTACCCTCTTTGTAATGAAACGGAAAAGACCAAAATGGCCACTAGGTGGAGACAAAACCAAAGACCTAATCTAAACACACACACACACACACACACACACACACACACACACACACACACACACACACAAATGCACACAAGCATATAACTCAGTCTTTAGCAAAAGAAACAAAGACTATTGTGTTATCCAAGTTAATATATTAAATCACATGGCTTTATAGTATTTGAGTAAAAATCTAGGTGGATGCATTTAAATTAATGTTTAATTCTTTAGATTTAGAACAGGTCTCAAGAACTCTTACCTGCTTGTTTAGGTTTTGAAAATGAGTTAGTAATGGGGTGTTCCCTGCTGTTGTATTTCTTCAGAGAAGTCGATCCTGTACTTGAGTCAGCGTCTCATCTCAGTTCCTGCAGTCCCCAGTTACTCTCAAAACCAACCAATCCTCCTTCTATAGTCAGTAGCCATCATTTCAAATTTATTGAAAGTTTCCAAGTGGATTAAATTTCGGGGCAATTGGCTTTAATTCCTCATCTATTAATGGGGAAGCTGTTTCCTACAAGGGCTTGTTTGCTTGGGATTTTAAAACTCCAGTGAATTGGTAAAATACAATTTTTTGGTAACTTGCAAGAACTCAAAAGCATCCAAGAAAATATACTTCCTAGAATTTGGACAGGAGGTCATCATGTGTCCATCCCTACTTGCTATAGAAAAATAAACGGATAAAATTAGCCATCCTTGGATATCTACCTTCAAAAATCATCCTCAATGAAACTGGGTGTGGTGGCCATACCTATAATTCCAGTCTTCTCTGTAGGCTGAAGCAGACGGCCATGAGGTCAAGCCAACCAGTACAATCTCACAAAACCAATGTGCTGGGTGCTAGTGGTGCACACCTTTAATCCCAGCACTTGAGAGGCAGAGGCAGGTGGATCTCTGTGAGTTCAAGGCCAGCCTGGTCTGCAAGATGAATCCGGGACAGCCAGGACTATTACAGAGAAACCCTGTCTTGAAAAAACAAAAACCAAAAAAAAAAAAAACCAATGTAATTGCACTATGCTTTCTGTGCAAGACCTGCATTCTGCTCAAAGGACTGTGGAAGCAAATGGTTTTTGAAAGTCGTGCCTGCCTAAAGACCACCATAATCAGTAGGCAGAAAGTTCTAACAAGCCTTGAGATTCCCTTGTCCAGCCAGTCTGCATTCTGACCGTTATCCATTTTACTAGACAAATCTAGGATTTGTCTTTCTGTCTGTAAATGAGTTATTTCCCCCGACCCCAAAGAAACATTCATTTGAAGAAAAAAAAGTCAACTTGTTATCTACATCTGGATTTTGGCTAATGCAAACAATATTAGGTCCAGCCTATATTGTTTGCTTCCAGGGTCTGGGAAGAGTCTACCAACCAGTTGAGGATTCTAATCTGAGGGATATTCAATGAATCTAAGCACACTGAGGTCTTTAGTCCATTCACTTTATTCTTCTATGACGATTCCATCTGCACAGTTTCTTTTCTGCTCTCTTACTTAGCTCCTCTTGGTCCCTCCTGCTGTTCTCTCATCTCTATCTAGTTCTTTCCATCTCCATCCTCATCTCTGTTCTTCTCCATCAATCCTCTTCTCCCAGTGCTCTCCGAGAAGCAGCATATATACCCACACAGTAGTTCTTTGGCAAAGCAATGCGAGGTTTGATGTTTTCAGGGTCGCAGAGAGAGGTGATAAGGACCCACACATAAAGCAATTAATGGTCAGCTTCCAATCACAACCCAAAAGGGGAGTGACTAAAGGGAAGTTCTCTGGGAGGGTCAACTAAAGGCTAAGATCAATTAGGGAATTTATGTGCTCAAACTATAATCTAGCAATGGCTAGGTAGAATGTTAGGGGTCAGTAAGTCACAAGAAAGTAAACTGTCTTTGGCGCCACTTTTCCCACTCATCCCAGCTGCAGCTGCTTTCTGATAGGGAGGGGGACATATGATAGGTGGCTAAGCAACCTATGTAAGAACATGTAGTATTTGATTTTAAAAAAGCACTTTCACTCAGAGTAATTGCTGAGGAGAAAATCTAGGAACAGCACCTGGCTGAGGAGGAATAAAAACTTAATTTGCACAAGAAAGAAGCTTGGCACCTATTGCTTGTTTGGCCTTGTAGGTGTTGCTGGAGGGCTTCTCTCCAGGTTCCACCAAGCCCTGAAGTCCCACAATCCATGTATAAAATAATCACTCAGACGCTTATATTACTTATAAACTGTATGGTTGTGGCAGGCTTCTTG